GTGCTTAAGACACAGAAATGGGCACTGGTGTGCTTAAGACACAGAAAGGGGTACTGGTGTGCTTAAGACACAGAAATGGGCACTGGTGTGCTTAAGACACAGAAATGGGCACTGGTGTGCTTAAGACACAGAAATGGGCACTGGTATGCCAATGATGTTAAGTAAAAAGGCTTTATAACACAAAAAAGGGTACTTCTTGAAATGGAAGCAAAAAAAAAGAAAAGATAACAAACCTTTTTCTTTTACCTGGTAATAAAAGTAACCAAAATAACAGTTTTTAAAAATCTTAAGAAATAGAAGGAGCAAACCACTTCAGACAGATAACTTATACCCTCCAACCACCCCATCATATCCGAGACTACTGACCTGGGTGGTCAACTTGAGGCAACATGCTGACGTACTCCTTGTAGGAAGACAGCGGCCCGTCCTTGGGGATGTAGTACGTGGGCAGCATAGACACCCTGGAAAAACACAATGGAGAACACATTGCTTGACATTTGGTCGCTTTTAAGGACAAGCGGGCTAACCCAGATTTCGGGGGTTTCCAGAAATCTTGACCTATACCAAAAGTGAGCATTGCCCTAGCTATAGGAGTAGTTTGGTTTCACTGGTGGGTATATTTGTTGGGTTATAGAGAAAATTCTCCTCCTCTTTTAATGAAACTGAACAAGGGGCAAAAACTTTACCTTTGATTTTCTCAAAACAGCATTTTTCGGGATAGCCCCCTTGTGATTAAAAGCGGCCATATATGAGGCAGCATGGTGAAATCAGGCGCTCGTCTACAAAAGATAAGTGAAGAAACTGGCATTTTTCCGCAGGTTTGGGAATTTTTATAGAAATTTCGTTTTTTGGCTCAATATCTTTCATGCCCATTAAAGAACATATTTCTGAGTGGATTTTACTGAAAAACGTTGGTTAAAGGCATAAACGATCGAAATTTTCTGTTTTCAACGGACTCTTAAGATAAGAAAATAACTCAACTTTGGCGGCTATTTTCTTACTAATTTTACCCCTAAAAACGAGGCGACCCCCACCTCCTTCAATCGCCAATACTTTGACTTGTATCTAAGATAAATGAATATTTTTTTTTTAAAATCAAAAGCAAGACAAATGAACTGGATTTAAGGTGATATCAATAACTCCATATGCCCCGAAATTGACAAGCGCCTGATTCCAACCCGTCGAGACACATAATATATTCAAATACAATAGCTGTAACTGAGTTCTTTTTAACCATTTCCCAGTTAGTTGAAAAGGTTTCACAATATTAGAGGGTCTGTTGGAGTGTAAATAGTTCGTTTAAAAGTGATAGCCTATGGTAGGGAGGTGGGGTATACAAATTATGATAATAAAATACAAATATATCATTATTATCAATAATACAATTATTACCATTATTATTACTATGACTATGACTATTGTCATAATCGTAATCATTATCATCATTATTATAATGATCATTACGAGAATATAGTTTTTGTTATTTTTATTTTTATCCGTTTTATCATCACCATTATCATTAGCATTATTTTTATTATCTTTATTATTATTATTATTATTATTATTATTATTTTCAACCTCACTGCGAGACTGTTTTTCTGGTATAAAATTTTACACATAGCATTTATATTATATCTATAATACTTTGTTTTACGTACACATTTGTGTCGATTAATTTTTAAGATGTGATGTCTTTTTCATTGTAATGCGCATTGAGCATCTTTTAGGAAATGGAAATGCGCAGCATAAGTGCTATTTATTATTATTATTATTATTACAATGTATTATTATCATACCTATTATTAAGTTACAGTCAACGGGTAAGAAAATAACCACATTTCTCTAGGATGCAGAGATGGGCACCAAAGAGAGAAAAATGACAGAGGCAGAGAGAAACAGAGATAGCTAGAGAGAGACAGAGAGGTAGAGAGAGATAGAGAGAGATAGAGAGAGAGAGAGACAGAGAGGTAGAGAGATACCAGTACTACAAAGACAGAGAGAGAGAGAGATTAAGAAAGCAACACAGACAGAAGCAAGAGGTGGAGATAGAAAATTTAAAAA